TGCTTGCACATTCACTATCCACTTACTTGCTTACTTACTGACTATTCACTAACTCTCTCACTCACAAAAAAGTAATTGAGCAACTAACTATTTAACTTCCTAGATTGTCTCACTCACACCCTGTTAAAAAACAGAAAGTGGTCGAAATTTCTGGACCCCTCTAATACGGCGTCTCTCAACCATATCTTTGTTTTGAGACGTCAAACTCCAACAATTATTACTATTATCAATCACTCAATAAATAATGAACAGTAATCAAACGTCCATATTAACACTGCGTAAAAACAATATTTCATATTTATTACCTTTTAATATTTGCCTTAAGTTTTGCAATTTCTTATTGCTATTTTATTATTTATATTGTTATTTTTGGTACCATGTCACTAGTCACATGGCATACATCAGTTCTAGCTAGCTCTCTTTTTTTTTTTGCTGTTTGAATGATTAAATGGACATTCTGCTCTATTTGCGGAAAACGGTTGGAAGTGACTTATAAAATAGTCATTGCCTTCAAACGAAATGCCGGGCTAGGTTTCAAATTTGCCCCGACCGGCAGGCGAGAGATTACTGAGAACTTCGAAGCAGGCACCTCTCAAATGACATTCTTTTTTCGTATTTTCCATAAGACAGTCAAACGTGGGAACAAAAGGGTTTGCCGTATATTGACGTCACATGTACCTTTTCTTTACTTTTAGAGCTCTTCATTAGTTTCGCTCTCGATCACATGCAACCCTCCAAGCCTGTAAGTGAGGTTTGAGGCTTTGTATCGCGCGCCCGTCCACCCGTATTTCGCAATCTTGATGCTTCACTTCAAGCATCCCATGTTTTTACTCCCTTCGTCTGCAACTGCGGTGGAGCAACGCTCTAGGACGATGAATTTCGTTTTCTGTCAAGCGGATTCTTTCTTTACCTCAGTAAAAAAATTGCACGATCGGTTATCGCCTGTTTTCCCGAGGGAAATATCTTCAGCGATGACTCTTATTCCATATCTCCAAGGCACCATCCACTTTATATGACTAGTCTGAGGAAAAATGTTTTCGTAGATGGATAATTTCGATCAGATGTGTTACGTCGTACTTTCGTTAACTTGGATGCCAAATTGCTTGTTTGTTTGTTTGTTTGTTTGTTTGTTTGTCTCTGTACTTGCTTGCGTATTCTTGCTCTTTATTGTGCCTAGTTTATTGACCGATAGAAGAATATGGAGAGTTCAATGCCTGTGCATGCCGGAGTGTTTGATTTATTTCTGCTCTTGATGGTAATGAACGTCCGCTAGCCAGGCCGTCTGCGCACTGAGACGCACGTGCCGCAGCAATATGTTCTATAGTCTGCCGCAAAGGTTACAGCTCTCGTAGGAAATCACTGTCCTACAACTCTCTACAGGCGGTCGATTTCTCACGACACACTGCAACAACCGGGACGAAACGAACTGATGTTCAGAAAAATCGTAAAATGCAACGCAGAGAAGACCGAGTTGCCTAGAAGACATCAACTTCTCCTCCTTTCTGCTCGGTCTGTTCTGTTGAAATACTGTGGCAAGTACGAAAACTTAAAATGTTTTCAGACATCTGGTTTTGGTTCATTGTGTGTGGCGCAGTAAACAGTGTGTAGTGAACCATGGATTATAGACACCATCAATTCTGAAGGACAAAAGAAGTGACTGCCGGGTAAAGTGGGCAGAAAAAGTCTGATCGCTGAAGCGAAGAGTGCGCGATTCTTCTTCGTTGAATCTATATTTAATGCAATATTAAAAGTTTTGATAAAACAGCAGTATCCCTTTCAGATTCAACGAGCTGTCTTTATAGTTTCTCAAACGTTCACCTCCGCCGATTTCGTCTGGCTTTGTAACCTGCTGACCTGCTAAGGGCTAACCAGATCTGTTTTTTATTGGTTTTGTGTTTGTATTTCAGCAATTGATGTAAGCCTATTATAAACATAGCAGTCATAAGCCACCAGCAGCAGGCTTTTTTTCTTTCATTTTCCTTTGTTCTGTAATTACCACTGAGGAGATAAAATATTCAAAACACATCCCAAATATTTTCCGTCACTTCACTATTTCTGAAGTTGTAATGATTAAATCAATTTCTCTGCTTTCACCCAGTGTGCTTTGTGTTGTATTTTTTACACCATGGTATACGAAATTTATCGTTTTATACAGAAACTAACTTCTTTTCAAGCGGCAGCTATGCCCCTGATCACTGATACTACGTTGTTAATAATCCACCAAGCTCATTATCAAGTATAGATGACTGGTTTGTGCCACTAATTAAATACTCACCTGAGAACCAGAAACAAAAACACCGTTTGTGCGAAGATCAAATTACTTTGATTATGCATCGCTAAGATAACACCATGGTACTGCTGAGAAAGCAGCAGCCAGCTTTCTTTGTCCGCAGTGAAACCTTCTGCGTAGTCAGATATGCATATGTTCAGCAACAAGTAAGGGTAGGTTAATGTCCTGATCAGAAAGGCCATTCACGCATACCTAACGAAAGAAAGCAGCCTAAGTGTTTCACACTGCACCAAGGAGGGTGCTTCAAGGGCTCATTGTTGGATAGAGAGGATTAGGAACCACAGTACTGAAGGAAATTATGGGTTACGGTTCATTATAAACTTTCATGGGAGAAGGAAAGACGCATGTCATGTTTTCTTTCTTTGTGCTTGCGCTATCGCGTACGCGCTCAAATGTGTGTGTATCGAACCCGCGACCGTCGAATTAGTAGCCGAGCACCGTATACAGCAGATGGGTGCACGTGTGTTTGTGTGTGCGTGTGTGTCTGTGAGAGTGTGTGTGTGTGTGCCTATGTTTGTACATTATAGCCGAATTGTTCATTGCGAAGAGACGCTACACCACATCCTGTGTGACTGTCCGTTGTATGAAATGCAGAGACAGTCACTGGCATCCGCTTTTGCGCGCATCGACAACAGCCAAATGTCTGTGGACACTATTTTGTCAAGTGCCCGAGAGAAGACACTGCAACAGAAGGTGATGAAAGCTCTGTTGAAATTCCTACGCGACACCGACTTGAACAAGCGACTGTAACAGCAATGTCACACACCGCGAAAGACAAGACTGGACTATGACTGAGTGTGCGCGCGTGTGCTGCCGAATGTGCTGTTTTTCTCTTCCCTCTCTGCTCTCTTTCATCTCCCCCATCCCTCTCCCATGCGCAGGGTAGCAAACCGGCTGCCTACAGGCTGGTTAACCTCCCTGCCTTCTTTTCCCTCTATTTTCCTTCCTTCCTTCCTTCCTTCAAATTGCCCTTTCTTTTAAGAGAACGTCTTTGCAGCTATATTACGAGAATGTACGTCACGTGGCTTGTGCAGTATAAATTACGCGTACTGCGTCTGTGTACACACAACCCAATAATTCTAAACGATAACGCTCACCACGTTATAGCTTTCAATAAATCAAGTTGGGGTACATGATTTCGCAAGAGAGGCCTGGCCTGCCAGTCCTCGCTGCAATCGTTTCGAATGTTTCTGTTTCTGTTATCGTTGTTCTAAATGAATTACCAAACATCGATAAATTTACAGTCGCCTAAATGTTCGAGTAATGTTCGCGAGCTAGCGTGTGCACCCGCGCTATCGAACACGTTTCTGTCATTCCGGAAACATTATCTTATACACACATGAGTACAGACATGCGTCAGATTGTTAGCTATAGAGCATTCGCTGAGACAAACAGGCGCCAGCAGGTCCTCATCAAAAACCTTCATTTCACAGTTTTCTCGTCATTTTCATGCACATTAGACAGGTATAACATATAGCAATGAACGCACATGCTATAGCGTACACAAATGTTCTTCTTATTCTGCAGATAAGAATAGCTTCTAAAGAGGTCCATTCACGACGGCCCGTATAACTGACACCCTACCACTGAAGTGTTCATCGAGGCTGAAAATTGGGCCTTTGTTTGTGTAAGTTTGTGCTTTTCATATATGCTTTTCACACTCAAACATAGTTTAGTCTCCAATTTTCTCAATATTTTTTTTTGTCTTCAGGGTGTCTTTTCTTTGTAAATTTAAATCTAAAGTAAAATGCATTCAGGGCTAGTCGGTATAACATTTCAACTAAAAAAGGGGGATGGAGTGTAGGTTCCAGGCGCCGAAGTCATTAGCATACGTGTTTGCGTTAACCTAATCATTTCGACACCAACACTCCCGCCCATCGTAACGCCGTAGGCTCGCCTCTGTACGTCCTACCCATATCTACGTATACAGTTACAGTTCGCGTGCCACTTATTTCCACAGTCCAAACGTTATGTTCCCCACTTTCACAGCTTCCTCTGTTGTAAAACGGTGGTTCATGCGTTCCCTTCGCATGCTCCCTCTATCCGTACCTTTTCCTTTGCAGCGCCCTACGGCGGAGCGCTTCGCAATCACGGCCCCGTGTCGTGCGCGTCTGCGCGCCGCTCCTCCGAGCCTCGGTTCAAAGCCCGTCCGTCGCCTCGTCCGCGAGGACACGCTTACCGCGCCGGACGCGTCCCTACTGTGCTGCCTCTTTTCCTCCCGCGGCGCCCACTTCGCCTCCAACCCTGCAACAGAGATACGCCTCTTCGTGAAGAGAACTTCTAGTCAACTCGCCGCACGCAAGTTTTTCCGCCCTGTGGATTGCTGCGCTGCGTGAAGCGAAACTTACAAAGAAAGTTTTTCGGTCCCCGAGCCTGTGGATTCCGATCGACGACGCTGGATCTCTTGTAGCGTAAGTTAGGAACATTAGTTTTGCCAGCGGGGCAGCCTCGAAGGCAGCATTTTTTTTTTCTTCCTTCGAAAGGGTCTATGAGGCGCGCTACGTAATTTTTTTTTTGTCTTCCCGAGTCGGTCTGGGCTTTCCGGAAATTATTTGTTCCTGCCTTGAACAGTTCCTGGAACAGTTCATAAGAAGTGTAAAATAATAAGTGTAAAATTAGCGCCAATTTCGTAAGAGGAACAGGAACCTTAAGAAGAAAGAGATATCTGCAAGTAGAGTTCAAGCTCTCCAATCTAAGCATTCCTCCCCACAGAGAAAAACGCGCAGTGTACTTAAAGATGATACGCGCAGTCAACGTCTAGCAAGGTATATTGAGGGGCCTGCGTGGGCAGCGAGAAGTTTACGCGCGGCCAACCACGAGCTTTACTGCGCAGAAAGAAAGAAAAGGGGACGGGACTGCGAAAGCCTAAAAGCTCAACCTAATTAAAGTGAAGCAGGTCGTTCAGATTGTCGTTTTGTCGAGCTGAAGAAGCGACATCGCCGCGTACTCGGCCATAAGCGTAGGACAGAAGGAGCACCCACATCTGACGCAGTGGTCGAAGGGGGAGACGGTACAGGAGACGTGGAAGTGAAAAAAAAAAAAGAATCGCGAAGGACAATGTCGAGCAAGTTGTCTTCGTTGTCAAAGGCGGTCGCCTCGCCGCGAAAACCCGTAGTCTGCGTGTTGCAGAGATGGTCGATGTTGGGCGTCGAAACTTGAACAAAAAGCAGGAGCTGGCCGTTTCAATTGAACCTCCACCATGTTTCTTCGGGGACTGATTCCAGCCATCGTGTACGTGTGCCTGTGGACGGCCTGCCTCCTCTCCACAAACCTCGGTGAGTTGATGCTGGTCTCACTGTATATGTACAGTTGGCGTCAGAGGTTGAGAGGCTTTTACGTTTGACAAAGCTTTGAATTTCTCAGCAACTTTCTTACTTTATTCCGTCGACCTTTACAGGGCACGTTGTCAAAGCGTTTGCGATGGACCAAAAAAAAATAAATTCGAGGCTAGCTGTGAAAAAAGTGGCATCTTCAGTTTTTTTTTTTTATTTTTTATTTGTTTGCATGACACATATTCTCTAAACATTTCACTCTAACTGTACCACCAGAAGCATTCCTCACCCCCGAATTTTTGGTTATACAACCAGCAATATATTCGATCAAAGCTATACACAGCACATCATAAGCAAGCTAGAAGAAAAGCTAACTTTTTGGTATATATACTCTCAGACAAATGCTTGGTGGCGCCGCCGAAAAGCTTTGCGAGAAAGGCATTGCGAGATATTTTTCACCACATGGAACCATGAAGTACAAAAAAAGAATGCTCATTGGCTTTCTATTTTTCTTAGTGTGACATGTACACATTTCCTCAAACTATACTGCACAAACAGCCCGAGTCCATTGCGAGAGGTGTATAGCAGAAACAGAGAATTTTGATGGATGTACGACAAATGTAGACCATGCAATTTCGTGATCTTGGTTTGCCGTTCCAATATTACTGAAGAAGATGGCCTGATAAACAAAGTAAATACGCAGAAAAGCTAAAAAATAATCAGGGAACTGGCACTAATTAGATTTTTTATTTATATACTGTCAAGTAATGTGAAAAGAAAGTACTAATTTGACTGATTGATACGCTGGGTTTAGCTTCCCAAAACCACCATATCTTTATGAGACGCCGTATAGTGGAGGGCTCTAGAAATTTAAACCACCTGGGGATATTAACGTGCCCCCTAATCAAAGCCCATGGCCCTACAGCATTAGGAAGAAGTACTAAAGTTCAAGTTACTGAATACAGTACTAGTAATGATGCGTTAGAAAACAGACTGCACTTCGCAAGCTCTGTAACTGCGGCTGCTGCTGCATACATAGTTTCCATTTTTTGTTCTGTCAAAAGCATTCGATATTCCGAGTTAACCATGACGCCCACAGTTAAAATTCAGGAAAACTCAATGCAATTTGGTGGTCGTAATGACTACCTAGATGATACTTTATCTTTGTGGCCACGTTATCTCGGTGGCTCTACTTCTGTGATTGTTCCTTGATATTGGATATTTTATGTAGTTTAGTTACTTTTTCCTTGTTTTTTTTTTGCTGACCAGTGGTCAGGAATATATTATTGAGTCTGCTCTAAATCAAAACATTGCATTGGAGACGTATATTGATATTACTTCGAATTTCTATTTGTCACACAGTACAGGAGGGAATGCATTATATGTCTAACGCTCGTTTTGTCGACAATATAAAGGTGTTGTGTGTCCATAGACATCTGTTTCTTTTTAATTAGACTATAGTATTGTCTCACTTACTTTTGAAGCACGCACAATGAAGGACAATAAAATCCATAGGAAGTTCGCACATTGCATAAATATGGAGTATTTTTAATAAAGAGAGCGAGTTATTTATTTTGGGTTGAACAAATCACACTCGTGCCTGAATGCCACTCGTATGATTAGTTGAGAAGGTGAAGTTTCATCACTCTTCCTGATTTTACACTTAAAATTTTGGGGTGGGGGTGGGGGGGGTTATGGTTTTTGTTCTTGTAAAATTATCCGTCAGTTATGATCTTCTGGCTGCAAATTAAAGCCGTTTGACAACGTGAAGTTACTACTTTTCAATTTTTTAACTATTCTTGACTATTTTATATGCAAAGGTTAGAATCAATGGAAGAATTCCGTTATTATGAGATGACCTAAAAATTTCATATTGTCTTTGTGATAATAATTTCACATAACGTAGTTTATTAAGTTCATTATGTGCTTCTTCGGGATGTCCGCTTAGGATGGTAACGCCTTGGTACGTCTCATTAGCCGTACCACCTCTTTTGTGCGACTGTACAGCGCTTTATTGAAGTTGTAGAATATCTATGGCGATACATGCACATTGCGTTTCAAGAAATGTGTCCAAAATCCTCATAAATTAGAAAAATTTGAAGTTTTTCAGATGCCTTCGTAGTAACTTTCTCTGTAGCTCCACACATCTTAACGGGGCTAAATACATCATCTGGGAAGGTAATTTTAAAATTTAGAATAATTAGCTGCTTAACTATTAAAGTTAGGTGGTTTCATCGAATGGGAGTATTCGTGTGAAGAACGCACAGCATCTTCGAGATTTCGAAAAGGGGTCGCGGGATTGAGTCCCGGCTGTGGTGGCTGCATTTCCGATGGAGGCAGAAATGTTGTAGGCCCGTGTGCTCAGATTTGGGTGCACGTTAAAGAACCCCAGGTGGTCAAAATTTCCGGAGCCCTCCACTACGGCGTCTCTCATAATCATATGGTGGTTTTGGGACGTTAAACACCACAAATCAATCAAATCAATCAATCGATTTCGAAAAAAGGGGTTTATAGAAACAAATGCGAAGTAATGAAGTTTACCGAAGTTCAGCGACACTGTATCGAAACTGAAACGCGAAATGGTGCAACTTCTATATTCTTCTGGGACGTCTTAAATGAGTAAGTGTCGTAATATCATACGACTTCGTTGTGCAAGCGTGCATACGTGCTGGTCAATCTGGCTTGCGGTATACTGATGCTGAGGTCTATACTATGTTCACGAACGCATAAGAACTGCATCTCTGCGATCGTTGTTTCGAACAATCACGTAATTCTGAAAGTATGCTTGTTGCGCTCATCGGCGCTTTGTTCTCGTTTTCATCATTGAATCTGGTTGAATTTTATTGCGCCACATTAAGTACTAGAGGTAGCTTTTAAACAATCTCAAAGCTGCATAGTATTCTGGCATGAAATACTTTATTACTCTCATTAGACATAAATACCTTAGGACATTGATTGAAAGGTTAATTAATGTTCTTTACCACGGTTCCAAATGCTGAACCGAAGGTCGCTGCACTGAATCCTTGTCGTGGGGAGCCGGGATTCGATACCGTGACTGTCGTACTGCAGACGAGCACCATAACGCTAGACCACGGCAACAGGCCGACGTCAGCGATAACGACCGCGGTAATCGTACGTAAAACAAGTAGGATGAACCGATGGGACCGACGCGACAGAAACACGGTTTTGAAACTCTAGCCTGCAAGCTCTCCAATAAGCAAAACATAGCCGCACATGAAAGGTTTCACCTGGTGGATAGATAGATAGATAAATTCTTCTATCGGAGAAAGCTAGGACTTAAGGTCATTGATGGGGAGGATTTAGAAGAGGGATAAAATTCCGGTGTCCCGCATACGGCTTTCTGATCAGCAATCAGTAGTTTTATGAAAACTTTCCGCAAAGCCACCTGCTTTTTTTTTTTCTGTCTCTCATTCTCCTTCCGCCCATTTCGCTCAAAAAGTCGGACCAACACTTAACTCCGTAGTGTTCTGTTTTCAACAGACACTGCTTTTGTATGTTGTAGTAGGCATGGTTTATGGCTGATTTTAGTCGCGCATTTTGTCTAATCAATACCACTCGTTATACAAGGCTATTATTTTTACCGATAAGGTTACGGTGGCCGAATCTTTAAACGCATTCATTTATACTTCTTGCGACGTTTGAGCATGCTGTCGTGCCTCGGAGTCGCGTCGTTCGTGTTTTTAGAAACGCGTACCATTGATCTACGCTACAAATGTGAGCTGCGTTTTCTGGGTGCGGAAGGGGTGGATGCCAAAATGTTCCTCTGCATGATCGCGTGTTCGGATGGCGTGCATATGATATGCACAGAGACCTAGAATACTACTATGGAACTTCTGGAGATATTTGTTATTTGCAGTAAACTGGATAGAGCAGATAAAATAAATGCTGCAGATACACTTCGAGAGAGCACAGTTTGTTTAGTTACAAGTCCATTCAGCGTGTAGGGTTGGCAGGTGGTTTAAAAAACGCGGTATAACAAGATATGTATTTAAAAATGTAAGATAAACGTAAGATGAGTAACAATACAAGGCTATGTGTAACAACTGCAGCTAGAGTCATGAGTCCGCGTTAATTTGATTATTACAGAAACGAATGCAGTGTAAAAAGTAAGTTAGGAATCGTGTAATTATGCGAGAAACTTACTCTACAGTATAAAAACGTACGAGAGCAAAGATAATGTGCTTCAGATATTCGTAAATGACATTTCTTAGCATGCCAATTTCGCTGACATACACGAGAAAATTCAAAATATGGTAAATTAAAAATCTCACCTTCCGGTAAAAAGAAATATCTAAGCGCCTATAGGAAGTTGTTTCCTAATTTGTCAGCTTTAATTCATTTTTTTTTAAATCGTGCCCCCTCTAGTGTTGCGAATTTCTCGAGAGGCATAACGGGACACATGTTTGTGAACAGGCTAGTTTTGTAAATGGTACATTACTTCCTATAATTGGATCAGGAAGGAAGTTTAACCAAATATATATCTGCTTGGCTCCCCTTATTGATTGATTGATTGATTGATTGATTGATTGATTGATTAGTTGGTTGGTTGATTGGTTGATTAATTGATTGATTGATTGATTGATTGATTGATACGTGGGGTTTAACGTCCCGAAACCTCCATATGATTATAAGAGACGCCATAGTGAAAGGCTCCGGAAATTTCGACTACCTGGGGTTCTTTAACACACACGCAAATATGAGCACATGGGCCTACAGAATTTTCGCCTCCATCGAAAAAGCAGCCGCCGCAGCAGGGATTTGATCCTGCGACCTACGGGGCAGCAGCCGAGTACCTTAGCCACTAGATGACCGTAGCAGGGCTGCTTGGCTTGCTTTGCTCCCCCGCGCCACGGGTATGGGAAAGGAGCATGCCGATATAAGAGAGACGTGAGAGAAGAACACAACATGCGATGAGTTCGCGGATCTGTGTGGTGGTAATGCTTTACGTTGCCTTTAACTTATCAGATACTACCAAAAAAGAA